CTATCAACGGATGCCCCCTCAAGATGCTGCTCGAGTTGTTCATGATTTTCTACAACGACAACGTTGTGAAAAATGGGTTGAAGAAATAGAACGCTCCGCCCTCATGTCACCAACTCCTCCCCTTACCGAATGCGATTATCCGCTATGTGGGTGGAGGTGATCATTATCAGTGTGCATTGTCGAGAAAAGGTGCTGGAATGACGCTCCCATTGACGGTCAAATCAAGAAAAATGCCTTCTGAGAAACCTGCATGTACTCGTGAATTAACGCCACCTGACAATAGCACCTGGGAACCTGTCGAAGGACCAGTGGACCATGTAGACTGTGCTGAGTATTATATGCGAGTGAATAGCGGCATAAAGACGAAGAAGGCCGCTTCCGAAGGGGCCAAGTCTGTGGAAACCCGTCGAGAGCGGGACAAAATCCAGGAGGAGGCAGCAGAGAAGGAGAGTAGGCAGAGCAACAGGGAACTAGTACTGCCCAAGCCACCGGCTCATCTCTCAGCCAAGGAAGCCGAAATATTTGAGAAATGTGTGCAGCGGCTTTCACTGATTGCTTTGGGAGGCAATCCTGAGAGGATGAAACGAGGTTATTGATGTCAACTATGCAACATTTTTTTGGGCTACGGTAGTCAGGATGAAGACGCATGGTGGCGCCAACAAGTTCTCTCGTCTAGCGAGATGGCGCTCTTTCCCGATGACTGAAATGGGCGTGGTTTGCTTCCCTCTCAACTAGCGTAACCCCATTTTTTTGATTCTTATGGCTTTGTGTGAACTAGCCTTGTGTTGCTTACTATCAGGTGTAGCGAATGCTGTTTAACAGCCGTTGTTTTTTTTTTGCATTTTTGATGTAGTAGCATGGAATCGTCTGTGGAACATTGTTTAAAAATTGATGAGCTAGGGTGATCCTCCATATTCTATGTTCGTCTTTTACTCACCACTGTTTGGGGGGGGAGGTGAGATCGGAGTGGGTTAGTTTAACAAGAATGCTAACAAGTACACTTCCTTAATCGTGTCATACTATACAGTGTCATACTTTCTCCAATTCGCTTACAACAGTTATTGTTTCCATTTATCTTTGCCATATTGCCATTTTCAATGTTTCAGAAAGTTTTGTGTAATGTTGAGGGTGTGGGTCAGGAGATCCGAGCTGCGGCGAAGAGTCGAAATCGATTTCGCTAGCTGCGTTGCATGCGCAGCATTCGCCCAAGCACTGGCTGATTCATCGAGAAAATGTTGCGGTTGCCCAGTCAACCAGCTAAGAAATGTGCCCGTCAACCGGTTTCCTGGTCTCACCAAAACTCGAATTTCTTGGCCCATTCTTTAACCTAGGAAGTTTTTGTTAAGCGGTTCGTTCAGCTTACTGCATATGTAATCAGTAATGGAATCCATTGTACTTATAGCCTGTTTCATCTTGTACGTTTCGGTCGATTATATTGGTTCAAAGGTTAAAATAAGAGCATATTGTCCATGATTTTATTACGAGTATTTTCCAGTAGTAGACAAATTTCTATGCTATTCCTGTGGGAGGCAGAGCATTTGCGTGAGAAAGAGTTTACTTGTCAGATTACCTCAAATTGTAGTCCACTCTCCGTTGTCGGTGAGGGAACATGCAGGCGAGGTCTCGGTCCATGTGGTCCCTTAGGTGGGTGGTATGTTTTTGTTCTGTTTTCGTTGTTCATGGGTGCTGATTGGGTGATCCAAGTTGGAAAAGGCATTGTCAGTGGCGTCACGTGCGCTGCGTTTGCTCTAGGACCGAATTTATTTGATGTGCACCTGCTACAGTGAAATAGTGAGTAGTTTGTGAGCGCAACGTGGATCTCCTGGCCTGCACCCGTTTTTCGTCACTGGTAAGCTACTTTTTTGCTGTGATCTTCGTCTATACTGTTTCTACGAGGGCGCAGTTCGGCGACAGGGGGGGAGGGGGATGGTGACATTTTGCACTTTCGTTGCTTCACTAGTTCCGGTTTACAAGTCTCACTCTGGTGAAACCTGTGAACTTGTGAAGCTGGAGCAAGCTCGTCAAGCCATCATGGTAAAACCTGTCAACTCGAGAATAGGCCCCCTCCCGTCGCCGAACAGCGCCTTGTGCGAGTTCGCGGGGAAGAGATTAGGAAATGATAGGTGGAAGGATTAATATCTAGGCTTCGGTTTATCTCTTCTTCGAGATTCTTCTAGAATCTTTTTGAATTCCAAATACTTGATGGATCTTTATCACGACTTCGAGTCACAAGGTAGATGTATAGTATGCTGAAATATCTCTTATTCAAACCGCTTAACTCACGATTAGCTCGAATTGCGTCTGTTCTTTATCCTTTCGAACCTGCGTGAAGCCACTCAGTCAACCCTATAATAATAAGAGCCGCAGTTGGCCTGAGAATGACTTGGTCCGAGGTATGATCTGCTGACAGTCGTGTGGTAGCTGCGCTTTTTACCACTGAACTTTTCACGCATGTCTAACTTTTTAGTCATTAGGAAGGCTATGTTGATAAAATTAACAGTTTTTCTAGTAGGTTTTTCTTTAGACTTGAATTGATAACTGTAGTTTTTAACTTTTTTTTTAGTTTTTTTGATCAGAACAAGTCAACACTGAATCATTCATTCAATCACTTAATTCTTTATTTACACCCGCGTAAACACAGCAAATGGAATAATTTATAGGACATTTTACAAATACCGGTAACAACCATACCGAATGAAACCTGGGTTACCTACTTATTTACGTACTCGGAATACTGCGTAAGACCTGTTAGTTGACATGGTAGCAAAAGAAACTAACGAAAATGCACAATCTCTCGCGATCCTCCCACTGCAAATCCTATCGAATTAGGACCATACGAAAACGTTGAAGTCTAAACAACCACTAGAGAGTTCTATTTGAGCTAGTTTCGGCGTGTAGCCAAAACTTAGATCTTTTGATCAGTACTCCCTCATAGGTCTCTTTTTCCTCAGCCACAGCGCGTTCTGACTTTGAGGGATTTCATTCACCGTTTCATGCTGCCACCCCAAGATTAAACCCGATGATTACGATAAGTTTGGAAGTTCGTAGAATTTCTAAGGACAGATACATGCGCACCCTACTTACTGACATATAAGGCGCATTTATTTGCATGGAGACGCACGCGGAAACGCGCGCGAAACGCTTTGAAACAGTGCAATAAGGCAGCGTTCATACTTCGCGACAGCAGCGGCGATCGTCGGTACGCGATTGAGCGCGCCCCAACGCTATTACTCAGGTTAGACCGCTCGCTATTAAATAAGGCAGCGTTTAGACTTAGCGACGGCAGCGGTTCGGTCGCGAAGTCTGAACGTTGCTTAAGGAAATCCAACTAATATTAACTCATTGTTTTGTCTTATAATGGAGACTGAAAACCTACTAATTTCTAGACCTAAGAGGACCTGAAATATGAGCAGGATGGGTTTCACCTTTTTTTGTGTCGGGAGTAAGGGCAACTTCATTTTCTAGGTGGGCTCCTTTTCATTTCTTTTGTTTTAATTTTTTTCAATTATAAAAGTGAAGAAGTTTCCTGTTGGCTGATCTTCTCCCTTCTTCCAGCTCCCCCAACACTTATAGTTTACAAGTCAGCGTTAAAGAAACACGGAAAATAAATACACAGAATGAAGCCCACCTAGGATTCAGAACAATTATTTTTTTTATGCAATATCAAAGAGGAATAGATTGTGTTACCTCATGTTTGAGCTCGAAGAATGAGAAAAACAAAACAGTACTAAACTTACTCCAAATGAAACTCCTACGCTTTTCACTCATTTTCATCCAAATCAAAAAAGAAAATAGAAAAGAAAAGCCATTAAGTTGGATCCATCTTTCCTCGAGCCAAACAAGTTCGAGGACCTGAGACAATTACGAAATTAGGCCAATTCCCCCTAATAGCACTCGGAGCGGTCCAAGTAATAGCGTTGGGGCGCGCTCTGTCGCGTACCGACGATCGCGGCGATCGCTACGATCGCTGCTGCTGTCGCGAAGTATGAACGATGTCAAAGATGCGCCTTGTACCCCTGAAAAGGAGGTATTATTGTACATAACTGTTTTTCGAAACCTATCCACCAAAGAGTGGTTGACCCATAGGGGGACAAATAAAGCGGTGTCCAAGCCACTGAACAGCATTGCAGTGCCAAGCGTAGACCACATTTCGACAATAGATGCTGGCATCGAGAGCGGCGATACAAGTACAGAACGTGGCATCACAGGATAACTGCGTCTCCGCACAGGACGAGTAACATTCGTCATGATGAATACAGCACACATTGACTGAAATGGGAAGGACTACTCCATATGGTAGACTGTGATGTGCATGTCTCGGAGGCGTGCTGTCGCAACGCGGCCACTTTGAACTGGGGTCGTCCACAATTCATGAGGTGCTCAGCCACTTTCAGCCATAGCCTAGAAGGGAACGACGACTTTTCAAAGTCGTTAGGATACTTGTTCACACTGAACAGCGCTGTAGTGACCGCTTCGCGACCGCATGCGTCAGCTGCCGACAAATCGCAACTCAGTCTGGCGCAAGTGCTGAATGCCTCGAAAACGGAGAAACTATAACATAGTGGCTTCTAGTAAGGTAACTCACTTCCGATCTGGTCGCAGGATGACGTCATCAAGTTTGACATGAATCTGGTTGTGATATCAGTACCGCACTGATATTCAGCGAGTGGAACTTGTGCTCCATGTAGATCAAAATTGACCAGAAAAATCAACAATACCAGCAAAGAATCGGTTTGCATTGAAGGTTATGGCCATGGGAATGTTTGCAAAGGAAAAAAAACCGGGCATATCTCGACAAAACTAGTTCCTGCTAGGTATTATGACCGCATAACCTGCGCTAATACCTATCGGGACCAGATATACGAGATCGATCGAACACAGCTGATTCATATTTATTCGATGAAATCCCATAGGTGAACATGAAACACGTAAAATGAGAGAATACACTGACAATTACGATAATATCAATCGATTACAGGGACTATGATAGCGATTGATCGATAGAGCAGAAATATGGAAACAGGGCACGTCTTTCTTTGGTACTTCCCTTGCGTGGGGGCGCCAAATTTTTTACTTGCGATTTTTTTTCCATTTTTCCTGTTTCAGTCGCGCTGTACTCATCGTTGGGGGGGGGGGGGAGCTCTGTGGGGGAAAACGTCTGCGAGCCACACATTTTTCCTTTTGTCGACTTTTCACGTTTTTTCCCGTTTCACATGTGCTTACACTACCGCCCCGCTCTCACCAGGGCACGTTGGGCATTCACTTGTCTCAGGGCACTTCAACCGGGAAGCCTCTCCTCTCTTTCATTTTTTCTTCCTCCTTCCTTCTTTTCCTTCCTTCCTTCTCTGATCCCTCCTCCTTTACCTTCTCCCTTCAACTACTGGACTGGTAGATGCCTCGTGAAAATACCCCTGGACCCTCGCAGCGAGAGCACGTCTGGTTGACAACAGCCCCGTAACCGGGATTCACTAGGGGGTCATATTTCGTCTCTGGGGGAGGGGAGTCGTATTTGGTCTGAGATAATTCCCCACCCCTCCCGCTCAACAGCTCGATCAGAGGAGGGAACTAGGGGATCGTATCAAGCCACCTTAGGGGATGGTGTGCGGACGCGACCAAAATCCCCAACTAATGACTTGCCTTGGCTTCCACTCCCTTCTTTTGCTCGCCGGCAAAATTTGGGGT